AGTTACGACCTCCTAAGGTTCCGATCCTACCTCGTTCCAGCTGGAAGTGCTTGAAGATGGCACGCAACATGATCCTTCCTACGGGCATCCCACCTGGCGAGATTCTCAACCATATTCTGAAACAAGAGCCCGAACTTACCTTTGCGGCAGGTTTTAAGGAGCTTTGCGGCTACTTCACGATCTAGACGTGGGAAGCGCTTGTCCGCAATGAGTTCCTGCTCAGAGGAGGACACGCTTGTGGGCCCACTGGTACACTTCGTCTCCGGGGGTCTTTTGGAGTCGACTGATGGCCATCAAAACTTGGTTGACGAAACCTCTAGCCTGACCCGCATTTTCCGGAGGGTACAAGATCCTTGAGATCCTTGACGCGAACAATGGATTCCTCATATGCGGCGTGATCATTGATGGGCATGCCTACATTGGGATCGGCGGCCTGAGACGGGTCTGCGTTGGGGAACTGGCCAGAGCCTCCCCCGCCTCCCCACCATTCATGCAGGGTCAGGTATGGTGAGGTACGGGCATTCCGTGTCTTCATGACTGCCGCCGCAAACTCGACATTGTGGAGTGTCGTCATCTCCATTGGAGTCTGATGACGAATCGGAGATTGCGGCCCATGGCGCTTGTGGGGATGACGAGTACAACCCTCCCAACATTGCGCTTGGTACTGGCGGAACACGAATGCCGTCGCCAGCTTTGGAGGCGGCGCCCCTGCAAGGGGCATGGGAGGCACTGGAGGTGGTGCGGCCGGAGCCACTTGATTAGCAACCAATTGGGAAAGCTGCTGAACCATTTCCGCTACAGCCGTCACTTGCACTCTCACATCTGCTTGATCCCTTGTACCGTCTCTATCCAAACCGCTAGCCCTCGACGCGCCCGGGGCTGTGTCTCCAACAGAGGACGCTGCTCCTAGCGTGCCGGATGGCCTACGGGATGTTGACTTGTGGCAACCCCAACAGGGTCCCTTGAATCAGCTGGGGCATCGTGACCAAGTCCTGAGTTTTGAACAGGACCACACGGAGGGTCGGGGATAATACTTGGCAAAGCATTCCCTTGCGACGATACGGCAACACCGGAGGCATCTTGTGAACCTGAAACCTGAGGTGCTCCAACCGGCTGATGGGTTCCTGAAGGAATTGTGCCCTGACTTGAGGCTTTAGCCGCGCTTGATTCCGTAGCTGTTTCGGCTGTTGTTGCGGCTTTTGGCGGGGACTCTTGAATCGGAACAGGGGTCGCACGAGCTTGTTGGGTGAGTGCTGCAACAACACGTTCGAGATCACCAAGTCGTTGATACATCACAGATTTTTCCTGGGACAATGGTATGCTCTTGACTGGCAATTGTTTGTTCCCTTTGCGAGATTGCCTGTTGAGCTTCCTGAACGATGCGTTGAACCTCATGCTGAGCGTCCTGTTGAGTAGCATTAACAACCTGCCGCGCGTTCTCAACATGGCCAATGGCTTCCTGTCGAGTCTGCTCGATTAGTTGTCTAACTTGAGCCTCGCTCTGTTGTGCTGTTTGTACAGCCTGCTGGGCTTGTGAAGCTAGCTGGGCCGCTTGAACCCTAACATCTGACACTTCCCTTACAGCCTGTTCCCTGACCCATCCGGCCTCTTGTCTTGCCTGGTCGGCGGCTTTCTGTTGGTGCAAGGCGTGATTGGCTGCCTGAGCAGCGAGGTCGGATGCTCGATGAGCTTGCTGCACCGCAGCTCCAGCAATAAAGGCTGCAGCCGGTACGTTACTCATCGGGTCGGGTATTTGGGAGCCCTGTGAAGGAAACTGGGTGGCTGGGGAACCTTCGGACGATGCGGGTTCTGACACGATCGGACCACTTGGAGGTGATGACGATGGTCGTGTTTGGGTTGAGGTGTGGAAGTGCGCATTGTGGACATTGCTGCAGGAACCATGGCAAGGTCAGGATCTTCGCCCTCCGAATCCCTGTTTGGGGTTGACCTTGAGCGGGGCTCTGAGGGTGGGGATAAACCTGTCGAAGTCATGACACAGCAACGCAATTTTGCACACACACAAAGCCAGCTCCACGCGCGCTTTGAGCAGCGTGTCCAAAAGGTGCTACGTGGGGCACGCGCGGGATTGGCAGCTGGTTGCCACTTCAAAAGAGCAGCTGCTTTAGCGACCTGGGGCGGCGGCGGCTTGACGATGTACCCTTGTGGTGGGTTTGAACCGGACTTGCTTCTGGGTTCGGCCTTGTTCAGACCGCGCGGAGGCGCTTTGTATCCAAAGGCACTCTGAGTCCTGGTAGGAGACCTTGCTCGAGGAGGGGACTTTGTAGGAATAGCTGCCTTTGCCGGAACCGAAGAAGCTGCACGAGGGAGTTCCTTGGGCAATGGAGGCTTGCTGCCAAAAATGATCTTCGGCGCGGCCTTTGGCGGTGGCTGCTCTGTTGTTCCAATCCTCCTGCTACGCGAAGCAATAGGCTCAGTATGCGCCGGTGCCTCGTATACGCGCCGAGGCACGTAAGCCGACCTGCCCGTTCGGAGAGATTCCGCGTCCTGCGGAGGCTCCTCGTCTGAGCTGTAGGCGTCGAGGCGATAGTGCTCCGCTGGTCCTGGGCGTCGAGCTGGAGATCGTGATCGCGAGCTTGTGGATGATCTTCTTGGCGGATCTCTCCACGTCTCGTCCGCAAGCGAATACGGGTCAGCCTGACGGAGAGGCTGGATGATTTCCCAAGCTTCAGGGTCGAAGGACAAAAGGTGCCAATTATCCAGTGTCTCGCGCCAGTCAAAGAGGGCCTCAACCTGTTGCCTTGAAGCCTCTGTAAACTTGATCCACCGGACGCGCCTGTCCTGCTTCTTATACTCGTCAACGATGATCTGTTGCAGGGTGTTGAATAACCGAGCACGCGGCCCCTTGCCACCACGAACACCGCGGTGGGGGCCGACTTCCATGTGCGACCGAAACGGTCGCAGTCACAGAAGGGTTTGTTTACCCGAAAAGCGTTACGGCTGATAACCACTCAAAGGAGAGGGAAACACAGTTTTCTCAACAACGGGGGACCCGGGACCTTAAAAGGAACGAACCCCGCCGTGACTGCAACCTCTCCCTTAACCTTGGGCAAACGCGCGCAACGCGCGCCTTTTTGTCTTGAGCCAAATCAATGACATGCGGACATGCCATTCGTCTTGTACCTTGGGGTATTCTACACTTGCAACATGAGAACCTAACTCATGAACCTCTGGGCCATAAATGTCATCGTGATAATTGACTTTCTGATTGCCTTCTGCTCACCTCGTAAGTGGCGCAGCGCATAGCGCGATGCCAGGCGTGCCAACATATTGTGGTGAATGGCTACACTAGTTTGAGCGCAGGGCTTGAAGCAGGGCTGTAGAGAGTATTTGCTATGTCAACCTTTCAGGCTCGGAGTGGTCTTGCTCACCCCCTGTGAGCCATCTTGGTGTTAAATATATAATTTGTATCATTGTAGCTACCGTAGCACCTTTCCATGCAAGCAGTTGCAGTTGACCCTTCCATGCCAGGTGTGCTGAAATTTAGCTGAATGGTGTTGTTCTCCTTGGCAAAGGATCCTCAACGCATATCGCGAAAAAGCTGGGACGAGGGGAGGGGGGGTGAAAACCGAAGGTGGTAAAGTTCTCAAGACTTCAGGGACGGTATGCTTGGGTGGTGTGCGCAACTGGTGGTGACTGCGGTACAGCACACATTCTAATGTGACAAGCTTACAGTAATGATTATTGTTACGCTGTCGCCGGGTTGGCTCGGAGGAGCCAAGGCAGGCGACCATGTCAACGCGTCTAGAGAGGCACGCTGCAATGCGAATGCGCTACAAAAGGAGGCGAACGAACTCCTTCCAACTTGGCGGTGTCCAGCGATCCTCACCTTTGCGCGCGCTTTCCCCATCCTTCAGAACCGGTTTTGGGTCTTCCCTGCGAGTCGGCGGCCCGAGCCACGGTGTTGCTCGGCGGTGGAAGCCGCACCACCAAGGAACCAACCGAATCCCGGAGGCTGCCGTTGAGGTTAATTACCCAACGCGCTCCGCTTGCCCTTGAGCGTGCTGAGCCACGCTCCCAGCCTGCCGAGTTGCAGTGGCGCCGGACGTGGGCGGAGTCAGAGGCATAGACCCTGCCCAGCACCCCTCCCGTGGCCAGGGCGCTGCTCCCGAACGCGGCGCTGCAAGGCTGCCCCGACGCAGTTGGGACAGCAAGGACACAATCTGACCCGAAAAGGCGGCGCATTACAGGCGTTCCAAATGGGCACCTTTTTTACTGTTGGACATGCACGTTAAGACCCACTACTCGGGTCTACATGGTCTACAAATTGATCGAAGCAGCACAAGCAAGCGCGAAAAACAAGCCAGAGTTCCCCGTGAGGAGACCTTGAAGCCTTTTTGCATGCCTGCCAGATGCTAAGCGCACTCGCCCAGGCGCACCCGCATGGCTGCGCGAGCGCTCAAAAAGTGAAACACCAGTACATGTCCAAGTCTTTTTGAGCAAGCTCCTGCGCGGGTGTGACTAAGCGGGTGTGCTTCCCGTGTGGCAGCCATGGATAGAAGGCTGAGCAGGTGCGCATGAGCGGGTGCACATACCGCCTGGCAGGCATGGGATGAGGGCTGAGCCGGCCCGCGTGAGAGGCTGTGCTTCCTATCTGGCCAGGCATGGATACCGGGGTGTGCTAACTCAGTTTGCACAGAAAATGCGGTTGGCGGCGGTGCCATTGCGGAAAGAGCGGTGAGATACGCTGACGCGCCGAACACCGTGAATTTATCTACGAAATGCATGTTTTGTTGCTTGTATTAATCAACTCCCCGTCAGTCATGAACCATGTTGGATCCATGGCTGTAGAAGGATGAAGCTGCCTTTGGCACCAACATATGCACTTTGCAGCCGCGCCAATGGGGAACGTGCGCTGAAAAGCGCGCGTTTACAGGTAAACAAGCCACAAACAAGCAAAGACAAGCCTTAAAGGAGGCGGCTTGTTGTGTGCACTTGAACAGGCAATTCACAAACCCACAAACACCGCTACGAGTTTCCGCCTGCACGGTGGGTGGCTTTCCTGGTCGGACATATTGTTTGAAACCGCCAGCTGCGCCACCTTTCCTCAGCATCGGGCACAACTGAAATGACTTTGGTGATATCCGTCGAAGAAATGCCGGTGCAATGGTGTGAAACTGAGCCGGGCTTCGGCGCAGTCACCCTGTGGCATGCAGGCAAGGTCCTACATGCACTCAATGTACAAATGGCGCTCCTTCAATGTGACATTCCTCAGCAAGAGGTCAGAGAGGCTCTCCAAAGAGAAGGATGCTGATGGAGCCTGCAAGCAGCAGGCTTGGCTCAGAGTGGATGACAGGTTTGCTTTCTTGTCGAAGTGGAACATGCATGTTGAGCATGTCATGTATGGCTGTATCTGTGCGTGTGATTGGGCGCACAGTTGTACATGATTGTTACGCATGATCAAGTGTGTTGCTGCGCTTAATTCTGCGATGTGTAATTAAGCGGGTATGGTCGTGATCCTGCTCGTGGTTAACTGCAAGGTCTTGCGTGTCTCTACTTTTGCAAGTGCTTATGTGAGTGATTGTGCACGTGCTTCCCAGCTCAGCTTGTGAGTGGCTATGCTCGTGATTGGGCGAGAGATTGAGAGTCTGTATGGTGATTCGTGACTTTGTGACTGTGAGCAGCGATGTGTATTGATCGCGTTATCGAGTGGGCTGCGGCAGGCGGTTCTGCGATTCTGAATGGTTGTGTCAAGTTCTGTCCATGATGTTGCGTGCGATTGACTGTGTGGCTCTGCCTGTTCGTGATTGTAAGCTTGATCAAAGTGGTTGTGTGAGCTTGATTGCGTGGCTGCCGCGTGTGCCTCTGTGCCTGCGTGGATGTGCGCGTGCATAGTGCGTGTCAAGTGTATCGAGTGTACCAAATGTGTCAGTTGTATCAGGCTGTCTCAAGCGTGGCAAGTGTGTCAAGTGTGATTAAAGCGGATGGAGTCTTTACACCAGTTTGGTTTTGGCAAGACATCTCCTCTCCTCCTCGAATGCCAAAAAACTAGTAAGCAGCGCATCCATGCCAATGCGCTTGCGGTTGTTCTTCAACCTGGCATGATGCCAGCATTGTGCTGGCCAACATGTCAGGTTCTTGCAGGCTCGACCATAGCTCGCGGCTATCCACATAAGACTTGAGTGCTGCGGTGCCTTCAAAAACCATTCGGCTTCTACATCAGCTGGCAACAAGAATCCTTGGCTCTGCGCATTCATCGCGTGTCCAGCAGCCATCTTGAGGAGCTTCCAGTTTCAATGCCTTACAAGCGTCAATCGTGCTTGGCTGCTCATGCATTCCCAGCTTCATGAGCTACAGCTGGCTGTAGGCTGTCGCAAAGGTCGGCTGGCGCGAACACAGGGCTCATGAACCAGTGCCAGCCTCTAGAAGCGGCAGCTTGCCAACTTTCCAGACCAGCTCGATCTGATAGCACTCCAATGTCATGAATCATCCAATCATCGTCATGCGGCGCACCTGGATAGAGGCCGAGGGGGCAGAAGATTCTTGACCTTGCAAGGAGACTGCAATCTAGCAATGATGCCATCCTTCCAACACATCATTGCCTTCTCCTTCTTCTGCCTCTGCTGTCACCTTGCATAACTCAAACATGACGCGCTGGAGCTACGTCATGGGTAAGGGCCCTTAGCAGTTATAGATGAGGAAGACCTGGTGTTGAAGGGGTCAACCGATGGCTGGGACTCTCCCCTCAAATGAACATGCGTTGAGCCCACTAGTTATTGAAGTCTGAAGCAAGAGAAGGATTTGCGTGCCGTTGGCGTGATTGCTGTGTAGCCAGTGGGCAATTGCAAGGTCCAGTGCGGCCTGCGGCATTATAAAGTTTTAAGAATCTGCCAAAAGCCAAAAACTACTGGCACAACCATATGCAACAAGCAAGTCTAGCCAAGACCAATGTCGGCCATTGGTTGGAAGCATGCTAGTGGTGAAGTTGTCATTGGGGCAAGCGTCAACCATGATTCTGACTGCTTGACTGAGGCTGGAACATGCTTTGGCCATGGCTTCCAGCCCACCAAATCTGGGTGATCGCGGAAGATCCTTTGGCTGAAGGTTTCATGCCAACTGAGAGCTACAACGAAGCTGGTACAAAGCCTTGTGACCACTGGATCCGCAGAGTTCTTCTTCAAGGCAAGCCAACCCTTTTCCTGGTGCTGAGTTGAACTCAGTTGAGTTGAGAATGTGGCATCCTAGAGTCCCATGCACGCGCATCACACGTCAGCAAAAAGTGCGCCTCAGCATGCGAGAGGAAGGTACTCAACTTCTTGAAGGAGCTTGCCTCACAGGAGTGCTCTGGCCTCACACCTTCCCACAAAAGAGAAGACTGCATACCTTGACATCGATGTTGGATCCAGCCCTCCTCCGCAAGCTCAAGAATCCATCAACAAAGCGGCAAAACAGGGACTGTCATGTACATACATCCAGGCAACATGAAAGCCCCCCAACACTGGAAACCCCCTGACGCCATGCCCACAGTGGCCGAAGATGGTGTGAATCCGGTGCTGTGCATCATTTCCAAATTCCCGGCACTAGAACAACGACATGCTTGGCTGGGTGAGGAAGGCGCCTCACGCACAACACTAGACGAAATCCAAAAGCTTCTGCGGGTTGCTTGCGAGCACGCGCGACCGGTCACTTGAAGATGTTCACTTGCTCAAAATGCAAGCTAACCAGAACCCAAACATCAAATGTGTTGGGGGAAAACACAGACCACAGGCCCTCCTGCATGGTCTCATGTGTTGTGCGTACAACGCATTGCCAGCAAGTGGCCTTGGTGAGTATTAGGAACACCACATTCAGCGACAAACTAAGAGCTGCACGCTTGCACACGTCATGCTTTGTATTGACTTTCTGACTATTGATTGGGGCCGCGCAAATCACGGTCTTTGATCCGAACTTTCAGAGCCTTGCAAAAGATGAAGAAGGTCATGCCGCTCAAGTGAAATGTCGGCGCATGCAGTTGGCAGCACTAGCCACAATTCATACACACACACTGGACCTGCAATAGGCACTCTTCTAAATCCTTGACCATGGCGCTTTCGGTCCTCGATACAACTCATAGGTGACTAGCCTCCCCCCCTCCAGCCTCCCCGCTCCAGCTTGAAAATTTCAGGATGACTCGGCTACTCTGTTCCCTGACCGGCAACCCACTTAGCGAGTCAGTTTTCTTCACGGAGAGCCTGAGCATCCTTGTAAAGCAGAACAGCCTCCAAAACACATGCGGATTAAGGGAAAGCAAGTTTGGGCTGCAAAAAGTTGAGGAGGGGTAGGGGGCTGGCGGGGAGGAGGCGAATCAGCATGAACAACTGTGCGCATGAACAAACTGTCGTACTGCCATGATGCTTGATATCGGCGTTGCACGTGTTTGTCACATGCATCTGCTTGATCACTGAGGCTCTTGGTGACAACTGAGGGCCGCTCGCTTTGCTCTGATCTTCACCAGGGGCCTCAGCCTCTGCAGCCGCAGCTGTTTCGGCTTCGTCCGGCTGTGCCGAAATAGCATCTGCCGTGTCGGACGTTGAATGGATTTGATCGCCTTGCTGCAGCACAACGTTGCACGGCCAAGGTCAATTCACGACAGGCCTACGAATCCAGCAGGCCGCGGGCTGCCCATGGCCTGTCACATGTCACAGGTTGGATGCGGTCTTGCAAATGCTGCAACATGGCTCGCCTCCCAAAAGGCATCGCCAAAGTAGTGCAGGACCTCCACTGCTTCACCCCTGGCACATTCCTATCCCAAGTATGGCAGTGCTTGACGGCAATGTAGCAGCTGCAGCTTCTGTCAAAGTCTTCCTAAGGCTTCGTCTTCGGTCCCGGCAAAGAGGCTGCTGGCATTCGAAGTCTTCCTACTGCAGCAGCCCCTGGATTGCCTTCGTGCCGCATCAAAAAGCCTGCTAAGAACAAGGGCAAGAACAAGAACTTGGTGAATTTGGCCACTTTGACAAATCAAAGTCATGAGTTCACCTTCAGCGCGCACTGCGACAAGGCGGCCCTCTCTTGCCACTTCACCTGTGCAGCTGTTTCGAGCTTCACCCCGCAAACTAGAACCCTTCGCCTTTGCAAGGCAAGACGGAGTGGATGCCAGGTGCCTGGAAAGCCAATGGCATAGTGTGAGTGCAATTCTTTGGCCCAAACCTCCAAGTGGTATGGTCAATTCCTCTGAGCTCCCAGCCATTACATTGGCCCCGCCAAAGATAAATTTTGCCACTGGCCTCACGGGGTTGCTGATTTCCGGAAGCAAAATGGGAAGTAAAACGGGTGCAAAGCCTCTGTATCACCACAGAGGGCAACATAGCTTCCGCTCCTACCTGCCGAGGCGCCCGCTTCCTTCTGCTGTGTTCTCGGCGAGATCCCGAAAGCACTTTAATTCACTGCTATCTGATGTATGAGAAACGGATTGACACAAAGTCCTCTACGTGTGTAAACTGCCTGGTGCCTCTCAATTGCACAAAGTCTGAGCTCAATGTTTGGCCTAAGCATAACATTGAACGTAGCGCCTCGCTTCGGCAGCGAACGCCAACACGCGTTGCCACACGGTTGTGGTTTCAGGGCTCCCTTGAATAGTAAACGGAATGATGTTTATTGCTTACGGGCTGGAAAGCGTCCCGCACTTTTGTGCTTGCTTTCTCATTTCGGGGGGGTGGCCGGAAATCAGGCTCGAACCATGTCTGCCGTGCGGCGTGCGGCGTGCGTCAAGAGTTCAACAGAGTTGGTGATAGAAATACATTGGGGATCGTCTTGAAGGATACTCAGAACTGCAAAAGAACCCCTCCATGAACAATGAACAGAGCCAACAAACTAAACAACCAGCAAACATGCAAAGAACAGTGAATCGTCAATGTGTCAACAGGATTTCCGAAATGCCCTGCCTTCCACAAAGCCAAAAGAGTCGGCATGAGCTCTCCCTTGCTTTCAAACAGAGCACAGCTGTCCTCTGATTGATTCCAAAGCACATGCTAAGGATTGCACCACGCCCATATCGGCCTTGCCATCTAGCTGGACCTGCAGCGTCTCAAGCAGTTGGCCAGGCGAAGGAGATGAGGGTTGGGATCCACGCAAAAAGGCACTCCGAATTGATGAATATAAACTGGAGGTTGCTCCCTCCTCCTGCCTGGTCAAAAGGAAGCTCATGGACACTGCAATTCATGTTGGGCGCCACAAAGCAGCAACTGCTTCAATGTCCCATCCTTGCGGACAATGACATCAGCCTTGTTGGGAAGAAGGACCTTGGGAATCGGATTTCGGAATGTTGGCAAGCTTGTTGCCGTGTCATTGGCAGGGTCCTTGGCAGAGTCTTTGGCAACAATGACATAATACGGCTGAGCGTCGGGTCACCCCAAACTCGAGGCCATGCGTAGTGTGTGCTGTGCACCGAATTCAGTGTGGCGGAATACCTTCAGAAGTTTTCAAAACACAGGTTGTACGATATAAGATTCTGGAAAGAGCAATGCACAGTAGTTCTAGAGACCCAGCACGCAGCAGGAACAAAGCCCGAAAGAGAGGGGCGAGCATGCCACCTACATAGATGGCGAAGGCATTCATTGCGCTTCAACGGGGGGCAAAGTTGCTAAACGAAATCTCAGATTCGAAACTAGTCAGCACGATTGCTCGCAATGCAAACGTCTGTACCTTGGCCGTGTCAACTACGTTGACCTTCGATTCGTGAACTGCAAATGCGCAACTGGTTCAGTCAAACCTGCTCTGTTTGTTTGCCCATTGCCAACTGGGCCCCGATCTGATGCTAGATCTTCGCCATGCGCGGCTGCGACTGCCTGGTGCCAGCTTGTAACAGGTGGTCATGCTTTGGCTGGAACAGCTCTAAAGGGTCTACGCAACAACTTTTTCCAGCATCAACAGATCTTTCTGGAGATCAAAAAGCCCGAAGGCATCAAGCAACTTGCATGTGCTCAGGAAACTGCAACACGCAGACGTGTACTAAGATAAGCTGGGCCCTCCTCAAAGGCTAAGTTCTTGAGCTCTTCTCCTTTGCCCTTGTGCCACCGGGAGCCAAGTGCCTAAAAACCATACTTGCGAGCTTCCTGCTTGCAAATTGAAATCTCCCGCAAATTGCGCACCATTCTTCCGGAGGGAGCAAAACAGCCCTCCACAAAGAATAAAGGCTCCTGAGGCTATCTTGCGTCGGGTTGGATTTTCCCCCTGCATGCCCCACAGGTCCCGCGTGTCCCACAAGCCAGCAAGTCCCCCACTTTTGGCACTGCCAGTAATTTTGAAATTCCCCCTTTGGCCGTTTGGGAAATCGTTGGGAATTACCATGCGTCTTTGTCCAGCGGCCGTACTAAACACAGACGTCAAAACAGGTACCTGTGGCCTTGTTTATTGATTGGCTTTTGCTATCTCGCGTTCTTTCGCTGTAATACAGCGTTAATCTTCTAACTTGTGCCTCGCGTTCTATCGCAAAATACAGCGTCAATCTTCTAACTTGTGTTTATCATAAAGTTTGATTTGGATGAATGGGGGCAGATAGTGCAATAATGTTGGATTGTTGCTGCTTCGAACAGCCGCGCTTCTACAAGCAAAAGTGTCGGTTCACCGCGTCTGCTTGCTGTGCGCACAACGCTTCTTTCGCGACCATGTTTCCTTAGCTCAAACAAAGTTACTTTAGTGGCTTGAGCATGCTGCACACACGTCACGCCTTGACATCTCATCACACATCCACTACCACGCACGCACAAAACTAGCAATCAAGCGTTACAGGTCACAACCTTCGCTCTCTCAGTCCAGGCTTCACTACGTTGGGTGATAGTGATAGTTTAGCATGACTTTGATTCTTTCTGCGCTGGGTTCAGAGCAACAAAGAGAAGGAAAAAGAGAAAGACAAGGAGACAGAGCCACAGAAACATAAAAAGAAAGAGGAAGAGGAGCAGGGAAAGGGAATGGGAATGGGAAAGATAAGGATAAAGAAACACATAAAGAAGGGAAACGCAACGCTCTCCGAGCCATTGTTTTTTATCCGCTCGCCGGCTATACTGGTAACAATCATATATGTATATATATATACATGGAAAACCAGTACACATAGAATATTGTATTGCCTCAATTACGGACTCGTAATTCATGCCGTTAACCTCTTTCAACGGATGGATGGATGGATGGATGGATGGATGGAGCGACAGGCACACAGCCGGACAGCGCCTGCCCCTAAAAAATAGTAAAAGGAGAATTCAAAGAATTATTCTTTCTACAATTTTTTCCAACAGCAACACAATAACTAGAAAACAAAATCCAGAACAACAAGCAAACAAAATAAATAATCACAACCAGCAACAAAAATATTTAATCACAGCATACAACATTAAATAATTGAAACCAGCATACCAACAAAACAGCAACACTCTAAACCATCAAAGACACTCAACTCAAAAACACACAGCAACAAAAAACAAAGCAACATACCAACAAAAAATATCACAAGAGTATCAAACAAAACAAAAACAAACAGCCAAAGCACGAAACAATTGAAGAAGCATACCAAGTCTAAACAACGCACTTTGAAAGAGATAAGCAAATTAGGAAAATATAATAATTCAATCTTTACAAACGATAAATATATTACAATTATATCATATAATATTTTACATGTGATAATCATAGTATGATTAAACCTGTTTTAGTGTTTCCAGTCTCCTATGTTGTTCCAAGAAATGCTCAAAGTGTTTCTGATATTATACCAGATTAAGGTAACGGCATAACCTTTCATTGGTGCTCTTTGTTGTATTAAATAACGTAACACTGATATCAAAGTATGGTAATTAAACTGCATTGCTGTCATTCCTCCTCTTTCATTAATACTATTACCATTATGTTTAACGAGTTCTTCTTTCATTATGTTTTCGTAAATCCCTTTTATCCATTGATGATTTTGTTCTCCATACTCAGCAAACATATCTAGATATATACCTTTCATTGTTTTATCGTTTTTAATTATTTCAATGACTTGTGTATACGATGGATAGGGATTATCCTTAATGAAACTCAATATTATCTTTCTATCCTGTTCCAGCTCTTTTTCTGTCACTCCTATCATTGGCATTCTCCTCTTATTATATTGAGTCTTTATTCCTTTAAGTCATTTTCAAAGATTTAATCATAAATATTGATTTTATGAAAAACCTCTCCTCCTTCGTTTCATCAGCTTCATCATATATTTTAATAGGCGTGGTGCTCCTTGTAGGATTTTATCTTCAATATATAAAACGCTATACTTACATTATAATTATAACATATAAGGGTATAAATGTTATAATCATAGTATGTTAAAGCTATATACTGCTACCAGTATCGTTCAAATGATACTACCAGTATCGTTCAAATGATACTACCAGTATCATTCAAATGATACTACCAGTATCGCACACCTGATACTTCCAACTCCAAACTCAAAATCCTTAATCCATCAAACTCATCAAAACTTCAAGTATCAAACCACTAGGTATTTTATATAGGGCTTCTTGCTAAATAATTCTAATAAATTCATATTATTAGAATTACTTAGATATGTATTATTCAAACAATACATATACTCCATCATCATTTGTTGAAATTTTACACAATTATAAAGTGGTGCTTTTAGGTTGTTTGATTTTTCCTGTATTCAACATATCACAATATTTCTTTTGTTTTGTAGGATAATCACCCGTTGGTCTTCCTATAGATTTTGCTTGAAATATATTTTCGATTTTTTCTTTATCTTCATTGCGTTCAACTGGTTTCATTTTGTCATCAATGGATTTAATCATATCATTTAAGGTTTTGATATTTTTACCAATTAATGTTATCTTCTTCATTAAATCATTAATAGTATAATTCTCATTTTCAGACATTACTATATATTTATTTAGATAATTATTTATTTAATTATACAATTTACCTGAATAATTTAATGTTATAGATGTAAATAAATTATATTCTAAGAGTCTTTCATCAATTTTATTTTTCATTTGTATCAAACCTTCCTCGTCACCTGTAATTTCAAAAAATTTCAATATTTTTCCAAAGTTATCTGGTTTAGTTATACCTTTCATAAAATATTTATCGCTGAATTTAGCATCAAACCATAAAAATATTCTTCACTCAATTGTTTAGCAAAGTTTTCATCACCATTGAATAGGTCTTTAATTTCTTCATCGTCAAAACTTATAATTCTATGGTCTTCTCCATTCATAGTTGGCATTATGATTATACAAATGATTAGATATTTATTTATTTAATTATATATATTTATAAAGTGCAATTATGTTAAACCTACTCTTTAAACACTAATTTTTCATCATTTGTTTAATAGTTTCCTGCGCTTCATTATCACCATTTTCCGAGAGTGATGCATCCTTACCCCATTTAAAAGTTATATTATGGACATCAGTTTCTAAGTTGATACTGTCTTTAGTTTTATCAATATTCATTTTCTTATCATTTTTACTTATTTTGAAACTTGTTGGAATACATGAACATTTACAACTTCCTTTCTTTTGTATTTCTAACTCATTTTTAAGTGCTAACATCTTTTTGCACATAGGACAAGCAACCTCAAATACTGCTGTTTCTTTAACAATTTCTCCGCTATCTTCATCTGTTGAAGAAACACTTAAACCTGTCTTATTTTTGTTTTTCTTTTTCTTTTTTACCATTTATATTAACATTGACATTTTTATTTTTGATGTATTGTATTCCTAGCTTAAGTATTTCCAATGAATAATAACAGCATTTTTTATTTTATTGTCAGTAATTATTACTTGTTCTATATTTTCTACTTCATCTATTATATTAATATAATTTGAATAACTCCTATTCATATAAATAATAAGATAAAATAGTTATTTAATCTTATTGTTTTCATGCATGATAGAATATTCGGAGGGCACAGCACTTGGGGTTTTCTTTACAATGCATCAAACTAATTAGCTTCAACGCTCATTGATTGAAGCAATGGAAATCCCGTTCCATTTAATATTAAATAGAATATGTATTTAAACTATTTTCTTTAGTAAGTTTTATTGCAGTTGATAGACTAACATCTTTAATATTAATACCAATAACTTCTTCTACACTATTTATCATTTCATTTGTATACATATCGGGATAATCTTTCATAAAATTTAGTAACTTTCTAAAATTAAAATCTAGGTTATTGTCATTTTCAATTGAGGACTTGGATACTACGATATTTTGTTTTTTAATTGCCGATAAAAAGTATAACATCGTATCATAATATATTTGTTCAGTGTCGGGCACTAAGATATCACCAAATTTATATATCCTCCGAATACTAGCCACTTCACTTAAATTAATAGAGTCTATTGCCATTATGATATACTTATATTATATTCTTTATTTTATAAGTATTTATAATATTATTTTTATTATGCCTGATGTAAAACCAATTGATGAAATCAAATATGACTTTAAGCAAAGTAAGCATGAGGTTGTCCCTAAATTGCCTATGAGAGCTATGATTGTCGGACCATCTGGAAGTGGAAAATCAACTTTACTTGTATCAATGATACTTGATATTTATAGAGGTGCATTTGAAAGAATTTTTATCTGGTCTCCATCTGTAAATTTGGATAGTATTTGGTTGCCAGTGAAGAAATACATTAAGGAAGGTTTGAAAGTAGATAATGATAAAGAACCGTGTTGGTGGGATGAGTTCAATGTTGAAGATTTAGAAAGAGTTTTAGAAACTCAAAATAAAATAATTGAATATCAGAAAAAACAAGGAATGAAGAAGTTATTTAATATATTAGTTATATTGGAT